AGTCTGCCTTAAAGGCGAGGGGACAGGGGCAGCCACGCCTCGCCCGAAGCAGCTGGGGACTGTGTCCTTTAGGGAGCTTTCGATGGGCAGATAGAAGCGGCCTCGTGGCGAGGGGAGTGTGTGTGCGCGCTCACCCCAGGCCGTTTCTACCGGCCGATCGAAGTGGCTGGTGATTCTGCCTTCAAGGGAGCTTCTATCAGCTATCAGGGTATTCTAACCTAGGCTACCTGCAGGGCACTCCTAAAGGCAAGTTTTCTGCCCCCCCACCCCTGCCCTTTCCCCCCATTTCTCTTTACCTCGTGTAGTTCTAACGAACGATGTGAGAAATGGCGGGGAAACGCACGCTTTTAATAGGCCTTAATTTAGGGGGCGGGGCTTAATTTCACCTGCTGCCAATAAAACATGGTGGGGCTTCCTATTGGTGGAGGCCGTATTGTTGGAGAAACACGGTAACTATACCAAAACAAAATAAAATACACCAATCACTATAAATCCATATATACATATGGCTATATAACAGCATAGTAATATAACAATTGTCAAGGATGTTATGTTAAACCTACTACTGCCATGTTAGATTGTTGGTTCTGCTCATGAAGTTTCTCATTAAAGGTTCATGATGAAAGTTAGGAGTCCTAAAGAAAGCAAAGAGTAGGAATAAATGGGAAATTTCATAGGGGTGATATAAGAAATGGAGTTCCTCAAGGATTTCTGCTGCAGTCAATGCTTTTTAACTTGTTAATAAATAACTTGACTTAGAGGTAAGAGCTAGTCATGTACAAACTGTATAATACTGCCAATAAAAAAGAATACTATTGATAAAATACTGTTAATCAAATAATATATATTTGAGTGTATGTATGTATATACACACACATACACCACACACTAATATATATATAGTAAATATATATGTAGTAGATCTATCAATAGTAATAGTTTATGTATAATTATTGAAAATCAGTTCTGAAGAGTTGCTGAAGTCTTTAAAGTCACTAAATTCAGTGAAATGACAAGAAAAGCTTCAGGACCTGAATGACTCATGAAATTAATGCAATGTATATAGTCATTACATTAGTGCAAAAGTGCATTAATTCAGTATCCATTAAAGATTTTGAACCCATACAGAAAATCTGACTTTCGAAGCCTTAATTTCCAAATAAGGATGAATACAATAATGTGCTGCATCCTTGTGACCAGTGACTTCAGTCTTAAGTATAAAATAATTAACTTGGATAAAAAAAACTTTAATTTTGTGTGCTGATTGGGTCAGAACTGTCTGCAACAAGACAGGAAAAATATTTTGGGATCATAATAGATCAATGAACGTATTCTGCAACTATTTTAAAAAAAAGAAAATTCCATTTATTACAAAAATTCCGTTTTCTACTTTTAGTGAATTGGTTATATTAAGCACCTTGCATAAATTTATGCACAGCTTTGATAGAGCCTATGAAAAAGTCGCATATTGTATTATAGGACTAATGTATGACATCTGATTCATAAACAATTATGCAAAACAGGTTTTTTTCCAAAAATATAATTGTGCAAAACTATTAAAAGTGCTGCAATAAAGTCATTTGTTTTTCAAAGATACTTGTGGATTCTTAAATTATTATGTGCCTCAATCCTGAACACATCTATGTAACAGCCTTAATTGTTATTTTGTATAAAAAATAAACATTCTCCTGTTCAAATGGTTTTGAAATAAAATGGCTGAAAAGACCGCCTTTCTGTATAAATCTGTTAGTGTTACTATAGTCTTTGGTATAACATATATTTTTATTCAATTATCCAACACTGCTTGTTAAGTCCCACTTCCAAAAGAAGCTCAGTTGGTGAGATTATCCTGTTCATTGTACCTTCCTTTGGGTAGCTCCCAAACTGATAAATCCTGTCTTATTCATCAACTGTAGTCATTGTTCCAATTCTTGCCTTTTCCTTCTAGAATTACTGTGAACTTGCATTTGCTGCAAATACATGCCATGCTGTTTTCAGGAAGAAAGACAAACATTGCAACCCTGCAGTCAAACAACCCCCCCGTCTGCTTGATAAAATTTTCTTAGAGCAACAGTAGTAGAATAGCTTTATTTCATCTTGTCCCCTTTTCACAATTTCAGGCTAAACAAGTATAAACTCTTAATTCAAAAGGATATTTATAAATTTTCTTTTAAGATTCTTCAAAATTTCACAGGCAAATTCCTGCTAATATAATTGACTCATTCCATGAGTGATGCTTCTTGAAATCAGTATGCATTTTTATTTGATTTTTAATCAGCGCTGACTCAGGAAGTGATAGTCACTCATTTACCCACAGTGGACACATCATTTGCAATTTTCAGTCCTGACTACTCAGCACAGTTTTTCAGACCACACAGAGTGTTTCTGATCAGCCTTATCTTGTTTATTTAATCTTTAAAACCACCTAAGTTGATGGACATCAGCAGACCTAGGGACAATGAATTAACTAGTTTTAACTAGTTTTCAGTTTTTTTGTTATCTTGTATTCAGCTATATTGGTTGACACCATATTATTTCATTCTACATTTTCTGGGGAAATAACTTTATATATAAAAATGGTGCAATTTGTATGGTAAGTGAGCCTTCAAGGGAATTCTCATTTTATAGCCTTAGTAGCACTGTGAAGAAAGTCTTCCCTTCAACTGCATTTGGCAGAATTATCTAGGGAAGGGCCTTGACAAAGATCTTAATGTAGAGACCAACTAGTGCAATTTGTCAAATATGCCTGTGTTGTCCATATAAAATACAGTCTTCATATTGGAAGGGTATTTTGCAAATAAGAAATCATGGGCTAGTTGAACTGGGTAGAAGTCAGGTTTGAGTGGATGTAACCTAGCAGGCTTGCCCATCAAATTACCTTTTCTGGTGATCATAATGGATGATTAGCTTAATGAACTACAGGATGAATATTCAGTCTTACAAACTCCTGTATGTAAGTCCATCTGAGTATACAAGGCAGGGGTGGGATACGACAGGGTTAACTACTGGTTTGGGATTTACCAGGTTTTGTGATTTATGATGTGCTTCCCTGCATGCTGCGAGTTGCGCACCTGTAAATTGTCATCAGCACTCCGTGCAGAGAAGTAGTCTTTGAAACAGCCCTCTTTTCCTGCTTTTTAAACTGCAGCTGTGCCTCGTTCGGCAGCTGAAGTTGAAAAATCAGGAAATAAAGATCAGGTAAGAGCCCGGGTGGGAGGGTGCGCAAAAAAATCAGCAGACATAGAATGGGTTCTATGTCTGCTGCTCTTCAGAGCTACTGGTTCTACAGAAGTGGATAGAACCGGTAGAAACCCACCCCTGATACAAGGACATTGAAATGCAACACCTAAGGTGAACCAAAGCAATTGTGGTGTACCAAAGACCAAGAGAAAATTAGAGTGTAACTGATGGATAAAAGAAACAAGAGTCAATACATGAACATCCATGATTGAAAACTGGCCAAGAACAACTACATACCCAAATTATTTTCTACATTTATACCAATATTTTACAAGATTGACAAAAAAGAGCTTTAGATGATAATTAAATGGGTGAAAAACATCTTGTAAACGAGATGAAGTGTGTGTGTATGCTTGTAGTGTATAAGAGATTTTCGATAAAGCCTTTTTTTGTAATTGATGTTTTTCATCTACAACTTTTCTCATTATTTTTTCTATATCTGGAAATCTTTCTGAAATCAAGATATTACAAGAAAATTTTGGTATCTAAATTAGAGAAACTCTTCACTTACACTTAATTGATATAGCATGTTGATTTGTGATTAATATCTCTAATTAATGGGGTTCTAGGACAACTTGATGTAGCCAACTCATCACAGTCAACTCACCTTGATCAACTTACCACAACCAACTTGCCAATGGGATAGCTTGCTATGGTCAACTATTCATAGGAAAACTCACCACAGGACAATTCAACACTCTATTAATCATTTCATTTAGTTACTTTTATTATCAGTGACCATATTTTCATCAAAATTTTTGTAGCTCTTTTATTTCTGGATTGACTTTCTTTAGTTTATTATTATTGGCTATGGTTTCATCAAAATGTGAAATACACATACACACACACACGCACAAAGAGTGGAAAGAAGTATATTGATTATACAGATATAATTAGATAGCAAAATATCTATTTGCCTTTCTGTTCTCCTTTTCTCTTTTTCCCCATCTATTCATGGGTGTCCAGGGAGTCAAAAAAGCAAAGATGGTGGCCATAGCTATGCAAAGCCCCATTTTTTAACATGCATTATGATGCATAGCTTCTATGATGCATTCTCAATATAGATTTCCCTCTCCCCTTCCTTCCTTCCTTCCTTCCTTCCTTCCTACCTACCTACCTACCTACCTACCTACCCACCTACATTTCTGATGCTAAACTGGAGAGCAAATCTCTGTCAGTGCTGGTATTTATTGAATCCAACTATATACTTTTCCCCTCAAAGGGTGAAACAATGTTTATTGTGCAAGATTTTTTTGAAAAGTAAACATTAGGCTAAACATTGACAGAGGGGCTGGTATTACGGTGCACAATTGAAACTAGTCTGTTTTTTCTCATTTCTTTTGAATACAGTTTTTTCCCCTTTTCCTTCTTTTCCTCATATATATTTTTGGCAAAGAATATAAGCACTTGTTTACAGAGAAAAGTTACAACCAGTAGAACCACTGCTCCAGGTAATGGAATTCTATTCAAAAGGGATGGCTTTCTAATATTACAGAAAACTGATTTTACTGCAGGAGCTAAATTTGACATTGTTTGCAGCCAATCATTTAACAATAATACCTTTTAGCAATGTAATAATTAAAAACAACACCAGAATTGTTTATAGATAGCTGCATTTTAAAATCATTATTCTAACATATTAATGTGTTTTTTTTCTAAATAATTACAAAGATGATCTGGAATAATTAGAAAATGGTTTTTTTTTTAAAAAAATGCAGACAATCCTATTTTTTTCTCTTATAGAAAATGTTTCTAATAATCTTATATCAGTGTTCCTAAATATAAAGAGCTCTGAAACTGTAATCTTACAGGATTAAAAACATTAAAAAACAACAAGTTTTGCTTTAAAAAACTTTTATTCAAATAACAATAAAACATTCATTTTTCACTGAAAACAAATGTCTTATAACAGTGGTGTCAAATCCTATTTCATTGAGGGCCACATCAGGGTTGTATTTGACCTGGGGACCTGGGGGGCCTGGGGTGTACGGCAAGGGTGGGCATGGCAGTTCGACATCACTCATTGAGGTTCTGTTTTTGGCTGCATGCGGCCTGCCCGGATTTCATTTTTGCTGACAGAGGGTTGCAGGAGGCCGTTCAGCCGAAAACAGAGCCTAGGAGGGCCATGTGCAGCCCTCCTGACTCCATTTTCACTGGCAGAGGCACCATAGTCAATCCTATGCTGTTTCCAGGGAGGGCCCGTGGACCAGATCTATGCACCCTTGAGTTTGACACCTTATAAACAGTAAATTCAGTGTTTGTGAATCTGAGTAGTAATATACTCTTGATATACAACCCTCCTATAGATTATGATGCAATACAGTTCTTTGTTCAAATATATATTATGATTCATAGACATGTATAATAAGTGGCTGCAGGTAAAATGGAACCAAATTGACTTTGGCACGAACATATGTAAAACTAAAACTCGATGTAGAATCATTCAAAAACCGGCAGCTACACACTAAAATGAAATTAAAATATATTGTTGCACTTTTTTCTTTTAGGATGTTTTGGATCTTTCAAACACTTTATTTCATTGCATTGTTTTCTTCTGTATGTAATGGTAAGTACCATACACAGGGCCATCAATGTGCACTATCTATATAGTATAAACCAGGGGACTCCAATACCCAGGCCGCAGCCCACTAATGGTCTATGGCCTGTTTGGAACTGGGCTGCGTGGCACATGCAGGCCAGTTCCCCTCTCCCCATTTTACTGGTCCATCAAACCATAAAGGTTGGGGACCGTTGGTATAATTTACTATAAAGAATAGGATATTTCAAGAGCTGTACCTTAAATGCTTACAGAACTGTGTGTTCAGAAGGACTTTTCAGAAGTAGCATCATTTTCAATTAATTTTTTTTGTGTGAAAAGTGATAAGTTTTTGTGACCTGCAGCTCACTTCATACATCTTCATACATCTATGGTAGACAACTTCTTGTAGATGAAGTACTGAATGTACTTATTCCTTGGCTGAAATGTTCAATTGAATTCAAAGAACCAAATAGCCTTTGCCAGTTCTCCTTATCACATTTTCAATACCTTGTTCCATTAGAGAATATTTTTTTTAAAAAGAAATAGATTAAGAGTTGAAGGGTAA